TACCAAGCATGACGTCCTTTTCCAGGGACTGGGCCCTCCTGATAACATCTCCAAAGTACCTAAGACAAAGCTCCACCATTCTTGCTGTTAAGGAGCATTCTGGCTATACCTCTTCTAGGACAGATTTTGTCCTTCTTCTTCTAGCAGCCCATGGTTTATTCAATATTCTTCACCAACATAGTAATTCAAAGGCATCAGTTCTTCTTCAGCCTTCTTTACTTAGTGCCCAGTTTTCACAGCATGAGATGATTGAAAATACTATGGCTTTGTCAGGTGTACCTTAGTCCTCATGGTAACGTCTTTGGTTTTCATCACTTCAAAGAGGTCTTTTGCAGAAGATTTGCCCAATGTATTGCCCAATACATCATTCAACTTCTTAAGAATAGATGGTGGGGAAATAAAATAGGCAAAACATAATTGATATTTCAGACAGAAACAAACCCTTGTGGGAAATTGGTACAGAATAAAGATAGCTTTTCCTACAAGGGCAGAAAAGATGTGCATGAAATAAATCATACTGGAACAATTGGCTACTCATTTGGGAAATAAATAAATAAATAAAACAACTAAGTTATCTGACCTTAACCATTATTCCAAAATAAATTCCAGAGAGGTCAAAGATTTTAATTAAAAAATGTAAACCTTAGAAGAACTAAAAGAAGATACAAGTATGTTGATGTTTTCAAAAATAATCTAGTGGTGGGTTGGGTCTTTCTAAAATAACAAAAAATGAAAAGGAAAAGAATAATAAATATGACTATGTTGACAATTAAAATTCCATACAAAAAAATTAATAACCCAAAGAATAAAATGGGAAAATATTCATAACACCTATAACTAAAAGAAGAATGTCCTTAATTTTAAAAAGTTTCTAACAAATCAGTAAGAAAAAGACTAAAAGATGAACACCCCAACAGGAAATTAGACCAAGAACTTGGACAGAGATTTCAATACACATATGAAAATATAACTTTCATGCTATAAAAACATTGAAATATACACAGCAGTAGAGAGACTGAGTCAATGAACCCGACACATTCATTCCCAGGTACAGATCAGCAGCTCATGGCTACTCTTGTTTCACCCAATCCCCACCCCACACACACATTCCCAGCCCATCCACTCCCACACTCCATTGTCAGAAAGCTTGTCTAAGATTTTAGATACCATTTCCCTATTGCATTGGCAAAAACCAAAAAAAAAAAAAAAACCCACAAAAACAAACCCACTGCCATCTAGTCAATTTGGATTCACGGCAACCCCCTTTGGGTTTCCAGGGCAGTAAATCTTTACAGACGTAGATTGCCCAGTCTTCCTTCCACAGAGTAGCTGGTGGGTTTGAACCACCAGCCTTGTGGTTAGCAGGCAAATGCCTTAGGCACTATGCCACCAGAGCTCATATCCATATATATATGTGTGTGTGTGTGTGTGTGTATATATATATACACACACACACACACACACATATATAGCTCTTGCCTGCTATCTCTGAGAGGGAAAAGGGGAGGTTTGAGAAGAGTTCAACTGTTTTCCACCTCCTTCAACAAGTAGAGGGAGCTCTGGTGGCACAGTGGTTCAAACATTTGGCTGCTAACCAAAATGCCATTGGTTTGAACCCACCAGCTACTCCACAGAGAGAAAGATGAGGCAGTCAGCTTCCATAAAGACTGACAGTCTTAGAAAGACTGTGAGGCAGTTTTACTCTGTCCTCTATGTTCACCATGAGTCAGAGTTGACTTGATGGCAGTGAGTATGGTTTTTTGGTCAACAAGTAGAATCGGGCAACTGAATCACAAACAAGGGAAGACTGCACAGGAAAAGACTTCGGTTGTGTGTGTGTGTGTGTGTGTGTGTGTGTGTGGAGGTGGGGTGAAGGGGTAAAGGTGTTGGAAGCCATTTCTTTGTATGTGTGTTGTGTGACTGAGAGTCACTTCCTCCTCAGGATCAGCCCTGGCAGCTCTTTGCCTTCCTATGGTCCTGCTCAGGGTCAGTGAGAGAACGGTGACGCAAAAGGCAGGGACCTGACTTCTGGGTGGGCACGAGTGACTGCACGGGACATACTCCGAGGGCCTTACGTAGTGCGCATGTCCTGTAAATGATCCCAGTGGGGTGGGCATAGGCCTGTTGAAGGCTGACTCCACAGACACTTCCCACCAGCCAGCCGACTTCTCTGATCTCCAAAACCCTTGGGCCGAAGCAGGGAGATGTCCCTGTGTTCAACAAACCAGACTATTTAAGCACCCGCTCTTACTCTCTGTGTGCATGTGCGGGTGGCAGCAAAGGGGGCTTCAAAAACGAGTAAGCTGAAATCTCAACCCATAAACATCTCAGTGAAATATTCTTCTAACTACTTCATGAATTTTTGTTCCACTAATGCCTAGATTAGGAGCTCTGGTAGCATAGTGCCTAAGGCACTTGACCGCTAACCAGTAGGCCGGTGGTTCAAATCCACCAGCCACTCCTCGGAAGGAAGTTTGGGCAATCTACTTCCATAGTGATACTGCCTTGGAAACCCAAGGAGGGGTTGCTATGAGTCGGGTCTGACTCAACAACAGTGCCTAGACTAAGTTTTGCATTTAGTAGGTGTTCAGTAAATGTTCAGGGATTGAATTAAGTAAATTGGATTCAGTAAATGTTTAGAGATTAACAGGTAAACTAGAATCTAGTTGTACCTTCAGGAAAAATCAAATTTATTTGGTAATCATTAGACTTCTTTGAGGTAGTCATTTAAACAATTTAATGTATTTGTTAAGTATCATTCTGGGCTGTTATTCTACTGAAGGCTGGAGTCCCTACGGTGTAACTGGAAGGGGACAGAGGGATGAGAGGGAAGGGTGAGGGGAAGGAGGAGGGCTGGTAGGTGTTGCGCAGAGAGAGCTTTGAGCTTTGAGCCTGGAGGGTACCATCTGGTGATCCCATTCCGAGAAGCAAGGACCAGAGAAGAGAGTATGGGCCAGAAGGTAATTAATTTGCCTTTGCATATGTTGAGTTTGTCTTGCAGAAAAACTTTCTGACGTAACTCTCGGGGTAGTTGTAAAAGCTAGGCAGAGGAGAAAATGAAACTAGAGACCTGGATTTGAAGCCACGTGTATCTCTCGTCATAGTTGAAACCAAGAAAGGAATAAAAGAGCAGAAATGGAATAGTGAGAGAGGAGGACATCAAAATCTTGTGGGGATTCTGCGCTCAGTGAGGAGAAAGGAGAGAGACAAGGAACGTTCGGAGGCTATATGAGAGATTCCACGAAATGGAGTACCAAAATTGGAGGAGGAGAGTAAGATCTTCAGGAGATGCTGCATGACTGGGAAGAACCAGGGAGTGGGAAAGAAAAAGGTGGGCGTATTAAACAACCATTTCACTCTCCTTTGAGAAGGTTAGCTCTGAAAGGAGGAAGAAGAAAGGATTGAGGGAGCAAACAGTAGAAGGGCTGAGGAAGGGTTTTAGTTTCAGTACTGGCAGGAATCCCTGCTTTACGTGATGGTGCAAAAGCACTAACTTTCCTTATAAATATAACTGATGGTTCTGACCTACGCCCCTCACAAGACTTGTATTCAAGAGCCTGCTTCCCCACTGGACAGTAAGCCCTTCAGGCAGCGGCTAAGCCTGTCTCAATATAACCAGAGCCTCAGGGACTGCTGGCAGGAACCACTGGAAAAATGTTTGTTGAATGGCAGTAATGTGTAAGCACGTGAAGCAGGTATTAATCAGCCGAGCTCTGGTAGCCTAGTGCCTTACGCACTGGACTACTAGCGGGAAGGCTGGAGGTTCAAACCCACCAGCCACTGCTTGGAAGGAAGGTTGGTGGGCTGGGCAATCTACTTCCATAGTGGGTACAGCCTCGGAAACCCAAGGAGGGGTCGCTATGGGTTGGATCTTACCCCACGGCAGTAAGTTTGGTTTGGTTTGTTTTTCATCACGGACTAAGAGCTCACTGCAGGTCAATCACTGTGTCATGTGCTTAAGGCGCACTACTCTTGTATGGCTCCCAACCCTAAGGTTGTTGTTGTTGTTGTTATGTGCCGTCGAGTCGGCCCCGACTCATAGCGACCCCTCCTTGGGTTTCCGAGGCAGTATCACTACGGAAGTAGGATTGCCCAACCTTCCTTCCGAGGAGTGGCTGGTGGGTTTGAACCGCCAGCCGTCTGGTTAGCAGGCAAGTGTCTTAGCCACTATGCTACCAGAGCTCCTCAACCCTGAGGTAGGAATCGTAATTATTCCATTTTACAGAAGAGGAAAACAAAGGAAAAGAACAGAGCCCAGACTCCAACCAGTGGGACTTGGACACGGGATGATTTTTCCATTCAAAAGCCGTGGGGTGACGGAGCACGCTGTGGTGGAGTGCAAGGAGGCGGAACCAATAACTCATTTCAAAGTAAAAATAAAAAACCTCACTGCCCTCCGGTGTATCGGACTCAATAGCAACCCCTCCCTGGGTTTCCAAGGCGGTATCACTACGGGAGCAGATCGCTCAACCTTCACTTCCGAGGAGTGGCCGGTGGGTTTGAACTGCTAGCCTTCTGGTTAGCAATTAAATGCCTTAGGCACTACGCCACCAGCTCTCCCTTCAAAGTAAAAGCCGGCTGCAAAAGAATGAACTTGAACCGGCTCTGGGCTGTTGAGGCCCTCCCCTCCCACAGGCTGAATAACAGTGCGCCTGCGCCCAGCCTTCCTTCCGCCCGGCCTAGGACTGGCTTCCGGACGGCCCGGACTGTGGGCGAGACTGGGTAGTGCGCCTGCTGATGACGACGACGGAAGCATTCACGCCCAGGGGCGGGACAAGAGCCCGGAAGGGCTCGGGTTTGCGGAAGTTTTGGAAGGGGGGTCTGTCGGCTAGTGGAGCGCGTTGTTGTTTCAGCTCAAGTTCCGGAAGGGAAGTCGCGGCCTAGGGTCCGAGAGCCACTATCTCCCTTCGTTTGGGGGCGAGATCGGGCGCGATTCGACGTCGCCTCTTGGCCCTACTCTTCCCTCGTTCCTCCCCAAGGAGCCGCTTCGCATCTCTGCCATGGCATCCACTTCATCCAACCTCCAGGTATCCTGACTTTTCTCCCGCCCCCTCGGAGAGCCGGAGGGGCGTGAGAATGGGGTACCGGAGGGGAGGAGGAGAAAACTGCTGCGCCCCAGCTGTGGGTCGGGCGCAGCCGGAGGTGGGCACTTGGTGGGGGAAGAGTCACTTCCGGTCTGCGCTTGGGGTCCACTGAGCCCCCGGGCTGTGTGAGACTTCGCTTTTTGTAAACAACTAAATTTGAACGGATCTGGGCAGTGGTCAATACGAGAGGCACGACTCCTCAATGAATATGTTGGAGAGAGGAGCGAGCGCCTGTAGTGTGTAATTTTTACAAAGCACTCCGCTGGGCAAGTTGAAAACACAATGGTCATAGTTCTGTCTCCGTTTGTCAAGCTGGGAGACCAGAGTCCTGCTCTTCGGGCTGTCAGGTGATTGAAAATATGGGCACAGTCCTGCAACCTGAGGTTGGAGCCCGAATCCATTCAAGCATATGTTTGTGTGCGTTATCCTATAGCTGCCAAAATGTCTATGTGGCATCAGGGAGGATTCCTGAACTCCTCTGCGTCTCCACCGGCGCCCCCCTCGTCCCCCCCACTGCACTGAGCACAGATTTTAGATTTCAGCCTTAGTTCTTTGTGGAACTGAATTCATCGAGAATAAGAATGTATGTAACCGTGCCTCCCATCCCCAGATGGATCTGGGTTCCATTGTCATTTAGAGAATGACTTTGCCTGGAGGAGTCTCTCCCAGTTTAGGTTTGTTAGGGGCAAAAGCGCATGTATGAAATTCTGGTATGGAATCGTCTTTTTCCTGCGGGTGTGACCCAGCTGAAGAGAGAAGATAATGGAGATACTACTAAGGTATTACTAAGATAATGCAGCTCCTCCTATGTCAGGCTCATTGACCCTGAAGAAAGACCCCGCAGAGTTGACCCACTGGTACAGAGATGAGAACTGTACCAAAAAATAGTGACATCTTGGTTGGGATTTTTATCTAGGAAATTTAACTAAACCATAATGAACTTAAGTGTTTTGTGTCTCAAAATATTATAATTGTAACTGGTGAATTTTTTAGAATAAAGAATGAGTGGGGTGTTGATTTGTGTGTATCTTTTCCAACAAGGTGGTATTCAGCTAAGATAAAACGACCTTCATTTAAGGTTTTTTCCTAGCCCGTTTGGAAAGATGGTCGTTTTGCTAGAAGTATTTGGAAAAATATTGGGCATTTATTTGGTGAAAGCGTTGATCATTTGAATACCAAAGATGATTTCTTTTGAAATGCCTATCTTGTCTCCATCCTTGTTGGTTTGTCAACTAGTTACATTGTTAACTGGTTATATTCTACCAGGTTTTCATTTGTCACAGAGTTTGCATGTGATTTGGGCAGTCTATGAGATAAATATCATCTGTTTCCTGAGGCTAGGTTAAACAGGGAGGGGTTGGAGTTACAGGTTTATCAGTTCACCCATGCTCTTTCCGGTTCAATCTTCCCACCCTTTTAATTTAGGGAACTGGGATAAAGAATATTCAAAAAATTTTCCCACAGAACAAGGCAAAACTCACTGCAGCCAGATGCTTAAAATCTAACAAAGAGTGCAGGTAACCAAAAAGCAAAATTATAAAGTAATGTGTTGTTGTTGTTATGTGCCGTCGAGTCGGCCCTGACTCATAGCGACCCCTCCTTGGGTTTCCGAGGCAGTATCACTACGGAAGTAGGATTGCCCAACCTTCCTTAAAGTAATGTAGTAAGTGCTATAATGGAATTAGAGGTTAGTGTGGGGGGTGGAGGGATCTCTGGTGGCACAGTGCCTAAGGCATCTGACTGCTAACCAGAAGGTTGGCGCTTCAAACCTACCAGCCACTCCTCAGAAGGAAGGTTGGGCATTCTACTTCCATAGTGATACCTCCTCGGAAGGGCACATCCTACCATGGACAGAGGAGAAGTATTTCCCAGAAGATGGGGCAAGAGGTGCTGGCACTGTCTGCTGGGTATTTAATGGGATAGCATTTAAACCTGAGAACAACTTTTCAGAGTGAGAATTACTGCCATTTCACCATACGAGACTCTGAGGCTCATTGGGTTATCATTTACCCAAAGACAGTTAATTAATTTTGGGAGTAGTTTTGAATACAGGTTTTCTAGTTACAAGTTTGCACTGTCCTTTCTACTACAAACAGGAGGAGACTGCAGAGAAAAACTGTATATCTCAGTCCAGAAGTGTAATAAACCTTGGAGAGGGTTGGGGAAAATTACAAGTAATAAAAACTGAACGGGAAGTTAGTTAATACACACCAAATCTGTTCTGTTCTGCACATGAAGTATCTCTTCTTCGGATCCTAACTACCTAGAGCTGAGTCACGTCTCACAGATTTCAAGGGCACAGTCGGCCAGCCTGCCGAGTCCGCCTAAGACCTCAAGACACCAGCCACGAACTTGGGGGAACCCACAATACCCTCACTTCTGAGCTGCTGGCTACAAATTCAGGTTCCCCTCTACCACCTCAGGATGCCAGCTGTAAGCTCAAGGGTCCCCAGGTCACCCTCACTTCCAGCCTGCTGACTCCCGCTACTCCCCTGGGTTCAATAACCTGCCAAGCAGTGATTCTGCGTGTTCATTGGATGCATGTACAGAAGTGTGTGTACCCTGAAGAGTGGGAGGCTGAGCCACCCTAAGGGCAGAAACAGGGTGTCTGCAAGGCGTCTTGGAGAAGTTGGACTTTTACAGGGGGACGAGTAGAGTTGGGCATTCCAGGTAGAGATAGGCTTCCCGCAAAGGCCCAGGGTCTGAGTGCGTCCAGGGTGGGCCAGTAATTTGTTACGACGGGAACTTGGTGTGCCAGGTGGGAAGACAAGGCTGAAGTTAGGCCACGTCATGAAGGGCGTTGTGTGCCACGAGTGAATGACTGGTCATCACCCTGCTGGAGACGGAGAGTCATAGTCCAAACACCCACTGTCATCGAGTTGTTTCCAACGCCTAGTGACCCTGACCCTATAGGACAGAGTAGAACTGCTCCATAGGTTTCCAGCACTGTAAATATTCACAGAAGCAGAGCAGCTGGTAGGTTCGAACCACAGACCTTTTGGTTAGCAGTGGAGTGGCTTAACCACTGTGCCACCAGAGCTCCTTATGGAGTGTCGCAGACAGGTTTTAAACAGCGGAGTACTGGATTGGGTTGTTGCTTTAGGAAAACTTGACTGGTAGCAAGCCTAGGAGCAGGGAGGCCAGTGAGGAAGCCGAGCTCTGTGAAATGGGTGAGGGTCCAAGTGGGAGTAGTGTCTGTTAGAAGAAGGAGGAAAGGGTTGGCTGGAGAAAGATGGAAGAGGGAGACCAGTCAGATGTGTTTAGAAGGTGAGGGAAGAAGAGTCTGTCTGGCCTTCCTCCGGTTTCCGGATTGGACAGCTGTGGGGGTGGACGTGGGTTCTGGGAGTGCAGAAGGGCATACCTGGAGCTAGCGTGGGGGTTGGGGAGCACAGTGCGTTCATCACGTGCTGAGTTTGAAATACCTGGGGGAACGTTCAACTGGAAATGTCCGATGAAGAGCTGCAGACAGAGCGAGGGCGCAGCGGGAATACTTGGATGGGAATGGTGACAGAGAGTATGTCTTAAGGTTGCATTTATGTAGAAAGGAAGCAGCATCTTTCAGTATGATTTGCTTCTGGCTCATGCTTTGCTTTCAACAGTCTTGTTTTGCCTTCCTTGACAGAAAGCCATAGACCTTGCCAGCAAGGCAGCACAGGAAGACAAAGCCGGGAACTATGAGGAAGCCCTTCAGCTCTACCAACATGCTGTGCAGTATTTTCTCCATGTAGTCAAATGTATGCTGTCTATTTGGTAGTTAAAAATGCTAAAAGAAAATAATACTCTATTTAATTTAATGAAAAATTGCAATATAATCCCAGGACATTCTAAACCATCCATTTGCAAAATTCCCCACTTTGCAGTGATTTTGTGTCCTCAGATTTGGGTAACAAATGTGCAGGGCGATTGCTACCGTTGCTTTGTGTTCTAACCTTGGAATGTCAGCTAGTCAGAGGAGATCGTCTTACTTTAATCTTGTCTCCCTCCCCTGAATAGATTTTTCCTTGTTTAAAAAGTGTCTCTTAAGAGTTTAAACCTTTCCTGTTTAGATGTCAGTGGAAAACACCTCTCTCATTTCCTTCAACAGATGAAGCTCAAGGTGATAAAGCGAAACAGAGCATCAGGGCCAAGTGTACAGAGTATCTTGACAGAGCCGAAACCCTAAAGGAGTATCTGAAAAAGAAGGAGAAGAAACCACAGAAGCCAGTGAAGGAGGGGCAGCCAAGCCCAGCTGACGAGAAGGGGTATGTATTTTAGAGTGTTGGATTTTATTATGTCTTTCAGGTTTTAATTGTTAATTGGCTTTGTTGAAACGACATGTTGGCAATTAGGGCTTACGGGCCAATCTGACCAGCTTCTTGTTTCTGTATAAATAAAGTTTTATTAGCACACAGCCTTACCCAGTCGTTGACCCGTTGTCTACTGCTGCTTTCTTGCTATAATGGCAAAGCTGAGTAGTGGCAACAGACTGCATTTGGCCTACAAAGCTAGAGTACTTGCTCTGCTAGCTGGCTGCTTGTAGAAGAAGTTTGCTGACCTCTAGCTGAAACCATGCCTAGGGGATGATAAAGTTCCAATGGCTCCCTGGGCTGCTTGCTGATGGAAGGGAAAAACACGTCCCCCTGGCCATGATGTAATACTGAAGTTAAAATTATGGTAGTGATCTGTGAATGAACACTTTGACTAACGGGACCCTTAGAGAATACTAACCACACGGGCAATGTGAAAGATGGCTGCCATCATACAAAATTTGGGCTATCTTACGTAAAGTTACTCCACGTAGATCTGCATTAGAGTTGCAATAAACAATTTATGAACATTGAAACCCATTTTTGGAATATCTCCCTTGAGGGCGATGTATCACTTACAGATGCAGAATTTATTTATGTACCAGCTGGTACAGACGTGCCAGGCTCTGTGCTGAGCAGAGGGCACAGGTTCTAACCAGACCGTCTCTGCCCATTACTAACTGGTACCAGAAGTGCTTCCAGGTGACCAACTCGAGAGAGGAGAACCTGGGCTAGGCTTATGTGGCCTGGTTAGGTCTGAACGCAGAGAGGTTCTGGCTGGCTTTAGGGAGTGCCGTTCTGCTGGCTCAGGACGCAGGGAGGCAGGCACCTAGGTAATGCCACGTGGCCACCAGCAGTGGAGCGCCTCCAGGCGGTGCTTCGAGGGCCCATGGCCGCTTCCATGGACCGCTGTGAAGCACATGAAGAGTGTAACAGCAGTGGCCTGGCTGCCTCAAGCTACCTGGGTGAGTTTGAAATTTATGAGCTCAAGGTTTTGTGTATTCTGTGTTCAAGACATGATCTGGGACCAGGGAGTGTCAGTGACAGTAGAGACTGTTTTATCTTCTGCACCCCAGCACTGACATAACAACAGTCTGATCACAGTCTGAGCCTTGGGGACTGTTGACTTTCAACCCAGGTTGAATGTCACATGGCTTCTCACATGAAAGTTGGGGCATTTATCAGAACTGGTCCTCCAGCCTTGGACTGCAAGCACGGAGGAGGACGCAATTACTCTGAGTGCCTGGACCCCTCACTGTCCCTGAGGAGTCCCTGCCAGCAGAAACAGCGTCCCCTCCCCTTCTGTGGTCTTGCTGGGAGATGATCTCTCCAGAGATGATCACCTGGCAGAGGGAGCCACTTCCTCGCACCTGAACAGCCATCCTACAGCAGGGCCCACCTTGGGTAATTTAAGCAAAAAGGATTTATCATAGGATGTTGCTTGCAGAATTTTGAGGCGAAAGAGCCAAGCCTGAACCTCTGTACCAAAAAAAAAAAACCCTCACTGCCATTGAGTCAACTTCAACTCATAGCCACCAGCTTTGGGTTTCTGAGGCAGTAAATCTTTCTGGAAGTAGATTGCCCAGTCTTCCTTCCATAGACTGGCTGGTGGGTTTGAGCTACCAACCTTCTGGTTATCAGTCAATGCCTTAGGCACTACGCCACCATGCCCAGCCTCACCAGGGCTGTTCTGGTAGCAGTCCCTCTGCTTACCAGCTCCCCTGCCCAGCCCTGAAGAGCTGGGAGCCACCAGCAGGACCTCTGCACAGCTTCCAGTGCTCTTGCCAGATTTGACGTGGACAGCCCTTGCCCGCCATTTTCCTTGCGTCTTCTTTCTGAGTAGCACGTATCTTGTCTTCTTCCTGGAACTGAGCCCTCGAGTAGAGCCCTCGCTGCACGGGAGGCTAGAAATGGCGGCTTTGTAAGACTAAACCTTCACAGTACGCGAAAGTGCGGTGGCAATATCTGCCTCCCCATAACCCCACCACCTAAGATTATAGAACAGTTCTGTTCTGAGCTAAAACCTGTCACTTTTTATCCACCTTGATATTTTACAGGAAAATACGGTACAAAAGCACACTGTGTTTTCACTCACTGTTGTATCATGAACATCTCTCCAGTAAACTCTACAACATCATTTATAAAGGTTGTGATATATTTAATACATGCTAATCCCTATAATTGAATGTACATTATTCCTGTTTTTCCCCTCATTACAAACAGTGCTGCCCCGATTGTCCTGGTAGTCAGATCTTGAACTCAATCTTCCATTCCTGTCTCAGGATAGATTCCTAGCTGCAACGGGCCTGAGCTCAGGGCCCAGGCATCAGGGAGCTTCATCCTCCAAACCTCCAACTCGGGGCCATGGACACCTGGACCTGAGATAATCGGGCTCTAGTTCTTGCCTCACCATTAAAGCTGCTTGTAAAAATCCATGTTTTGCCTGGTCCTGGTTTTCCTATTGTTGGTGAATCTCCTGAACTTCACCTTCAGTCCTTTGGGGCGTGCCATGTGTTGCTGCATCACACACTAAAGCACAGCCAGGTGTGTCATGGGAATCTGGAGCTTGTGCCTGATTTCACTGCGGTCTTCTGTCCTTTCCTGTCCATAATTCTATGTAGATGAATAGAGTGCCTGCTTTCCATCTTAGTAATTTGTTCTTCACATACTGAAACGAGCATAACTTTTAATGTGACTGTCTTATTTTGCCACTTAAATAATAACTATTGCAGGTTGCTCTGGCCTTCATCTCTGCCTTGTTTTGTCTGCTGGCAGTGAGTGGTCATTTGAATATGTCCATTCTTTTTATTAGGAACGACAGTGACGGGGAAGAAGAGTCTGATGACCCTGAGAAAAAGAAGCGCCAGAACCAGCTTCAAGGTGCTTTAGAGCTTACGTTTACATTAATGCCTTACTGAAGGGCTCACAGTGCAGTGCTCATTTGAACTGTATCCATCCATATGCTTTGGCCCCCAGTCGTCTCCTGCTGGCTTTGCCAAGACACTTTCACAGGGTTTCTCTCTGGGATCTCCAGTGGTGGTGGTGGGGTGGTTGGTTTTATTTTTCATGTCCTAAAACTATTGTTTCATTTTGTATCTCCCTTAAAAGGCTCTCAGTCAGCTGGTTCTCCTTCGTTTTGTCTCGTGCCCCCTTGCAGACGGTAGCATTTATACCACAAGATGTGCTGGTATTTTTGTGCCGACTGTTAGAGCAGCAGCGTGGATTAGGGTTTACACTTGGCTGTTGTGGCTGTGGCTGTGGCTGTGGCTTTTTCATTGATGGTTTGTTTCATGTTTCCTCCCTGTGCTTTCCCGTACACCGTTCTCCATTTAAGCTCTCTGTTCTTACCCTCCACACCTGCAAAAGCCCTTTCGCTCTGCTCTATGGAAGTAGCATGGCATTATGGGACAGGCTCCACTGGGCTCTGCACTCCAGTACCCACTGACTGAAAGCTGGCGAGTCTTGGAAGAGTTGGAGTCTGAGTCCCCATCTCTAACGTGGAAATTAATAGCACTTTCCATTCGGGACTGTGAAGAGATCAGTGAAGTATAAAGTTGCCTAGTGTGATGACTGACACATTCGGGGGGCTCAGGAAATGGCACCAGTGTATCTGAAGAGGCACCTCTTCCTTGCTACCTTCTTTAATTGCTCGGATTTGATTTTTCTTTGATATGTTAGTGAATGATTTTTCAAGCTCAGTCATCAGAAATAATGTATTCTATTCATGTCAGTCTAAACAGTCAGCATGCACAACTGGGAAGGATTTCCACTGTGTAAGCTCGGCCAGGCTTGGACAGGCCTTCACCTCTTCCATCCTGGTCCCTCTGTTTTGGTGATATTTGTCTTACCAACCCCACTGGGATGAGTAGGAAGCAGAACACAGTAATGAGGATACTGTAACAGGACCCTATCTGGACAACAGTACGGTTAGGGCAGACAGCACTCTGCTGTGCCGACAGCTCCGGTGGTGGCTGTCACCCCGGGGTGGATCTTGGGGCCCACACTTGTGCACCACTGCTGGAACGCTGCTGGTGCCCACTGGGCTCTCAGGGAGCATGTGCTGGGCGACGCAACCCTGTGCCAAGTGCCCTTTTTACACTTGTAAGGCAAAGAGCCGTATTGTCTCTGTTCTTTTGGTTCTGGTTTTGCTCCTCATTCTTTCCTCCTGACAGTAAGCCTTGGATTGTATCATTAGTTTTGAAAAGGATAGCAATTTTTATTAGGGAATTTGTATTTAAATTCCCTGTCAGTTTTGACAAGAGACAGAGATTAGAAAACTCCTTAAAAACATTTTTAGAAAATCTTTAAAACATTTAAGTGAGCCATTTATTTGGAAGTTCAGATGGACATGGACTGTGAAAGGAGCCCTGGCATTTCATATCTGAGAGTCCTTCTGTCCCATCCTTTCATTGAATGATCTGTTGGTGGGTTTTACAGTGTACTATCTTGTTTGGGAATTTTAAACAATCTTTTAAATCTTTTACTTCTGTTTTAGCTTATGACATTAAGTGTAAAATTTGATTGTTAAAATTAAAAATGGGTTTATGATTTGAGTTTTCTATTAGCTTATTTTGATACTTAGTCACTTTGTTTAGGTAATACTGTAATCACATGTAGATTTATGTAATTGGCGAAGTGTTTTAATGCTATTTCCAACAAGCCCTCCCTTTAAAATGTCACTGGCCATTAAGTCACGTCTAGTGATTCATGTTGTTCCGGTGGGTTGCTGTCACGCTGATTCGGATTCGCGGTGACCCCGTGTGACACAGGAGAACTGCCGGGAGGTTTGCTGGGCTGTGATCGCCACAGACTCAGCCGCTGCGGGGGGCGCTCAGGCTCCTAGCTCTCACACCACCAGGGCTCCTTGGTTAATAGTACTAGCATTTAAATAAGCTTTCATCACTACACCTTTTAACTCTAAGGAGAAAAGTATTAGGTAAATGCTGTCAAGGTAAATTACAGCATACTTTTTAAATTCATAGCAAAAATCTTGAGTTAACTAGAGGATGTTCATACGTAACTTTACTTTCACTTAACCAGCAAATAGGGGTACTGATCTGAATGGAACATAGAGGAGAAGCAGGGATTGAAGTTTTCCTTAACTTTATACTTTGTCTGAGCTTGTAGAATGCAGAAATCAGATGGTGGTTTCATTTCCTTTTAACCTACTGACTAAAGATTTTCATGATTTTGTGACCTTTGTTACAGACTTTAACTAGTCTTAGGATAATAAACAAATGATGTTGCCTAAGAAGAAATGATCTATAAAAATAATCTCATAGAGTGATTGTTAGACTGTGCAAATGCTGGTATTTTCTTATATTGAAAGTGGCTTCATTGCGGTCTGGTTAGTCACTTACAGTGGAGGCATTTCTGTGGGCGGGAAAATTAGGGATGCTTTGATAAAAGATAACTAGAAAATTTTGCCAGTGAGTTCTATTGAAAGAAAGCCAAATTGCAGCCATTGCTGTGGCTTGTGGATATTGTACATTTAAAAGCTGTCACCTGAGTAGTTTTGTCGATGCGTGGAATCGTAACGAAGCCTGCTGAGGACACACGGACAAGGCTGCTGAGCTATAGCACGTGCTTTCCTGTTCCCCGCATCCTCTCCTCTTGGCTCCTGCTGCCTGCCTCCCTTTCCCTCCACTCTTCTGTCTGTCTATATTTGTATATCTGTCTGTCCTTAGTTAAGCTTATTTCCTTTTTGTGGTTAAGAAGAGCATTAAGTCACTTTTTTTGTGTGTGTGTGTGAAAAGGAAGAACAGCAGGTCAGTAGGTCAACCTCATTGAACGACTACTTATAATTCTCAGAATCACTGTATTCAAATATTACAGGCACTTTGTATAATAAACCAAACCAAACTCAATGCTGTTGAGTCGGATCCAACTCATAGCAACCCCTGGTTAGCAGTCAAATACCTTAGGCACTGCGCCACCAGAGCTCCTTTGTATAATGGATGATGCTTTTTCTGGCACTCCAAAATTCATTATGTCACTTGAGCCTCACACTAACCCGCTTAAGTAGGTTGGGCAGGTGGCATTGTTTTCATTGCACAAAAGGGGACATTCAGACGGGAAAGTTAAGCGACTCTTACCCTCGGTTGTCTGGCCGCTCCGCCCAGTTTCCTGACTCCTACTGACAACTATTCCTCATCACACAATTGCAGAAGGTTTATTAACACCTAGAACTTCCCAGGCAGTTTTCTAAGGCATTTCTTAGCACCATCATTCCATGTTGTCTGTCTTCCTTAAGGTGGTGTGCTTTCTCTTAGGGGCCATTGTCATCGAGCGACCAAATGTGAAGTGGAGCGACGTTGCTGGTCTCGAAGGGGCCAAAGAAGCCCTGAAAGAGGCTGTGATACTGCCTATTAAGTTCCCACACCTTTTTACAGGTGAGCTAATACAGAAGTAACGTTTGCTGGTGGTGGTTTAAAGAACACATTGGTGACTGAGGTCAAGCATTGTGGATTCTTTTTTTTTTTCCCAATTTATTTTATTCCCTTCACTCAAATTACATGTGTCTACCCTCCCTCACCTACCCACTGCTGGTAACTGAAGAATTATTTGTTATTATTTTTGTGTGAAACCCTTTTGTTGACTTTTTATAATAATGTCTTTACATAATATTTGTCCTTTTTTTGATTGACTGATTTCATGCAGCGTAATGTCCTCTAAGCTCCTCCATGTTCTGTTCTGCAGACTCATCATGCCTTAAGGTTGTGTAATTGTCTGTGTACCAGGCTGTCGAGCCATTCCTTAATGTTGTGTAGTAGTCCATTGTCTGTGTGTACCAGGCTGTCGAGCCGTTCCTTAATGTTGTGTAGTAGTCCATTGTCTGTGT